TTTTTTTTTTTTTTTTTTTAATGGTAATTTATTTATATTTTTTTTTACATTTTTTTTTTAAAGAGCTCACGTAGATGGGTTATTAATTAACGGACAAGAATGCATTAGGAAAATGATATGATTTAGATAAGGTTTAATCTAAAGAAAATTGAGAGAATAGAAGTAGGCAAGGTTTTATTTGAGGGAGTCATGTTCAATTATTGATTACCAAGTATTTTATTATTATTATTATTATTATTATTATTATTATTATTATTATTATTATTATTCAATATAATATTACCAAAATTAAGGATCCACATTTTGCCAACAAAAATGTATTGATTATCAATTCTGCAGCCTCAATTTCCAGCTTCTTATAATATTCCAATAAGCTGCCATTTTTTTTACTTAATTGGTATGTATATCTTCTACTTACAATAAAAACATTATCACATATAGTATGAAATAAAATTAAAATCCATGAAATTATTTATATGTCGCTTGTCTCTTTGTGTGTTAAATGTCGTGCAGCATGTCTCTTCCATTAATTCCAATAATTTAAAATTTATTGCTCACGGAAACTGATGAGATAGGGTTGCAATAAAGAATTGAGTTGGATTTTTATTGGGAAAAATCCTACTACAAAATACAAAATCCATATTTTTTAATAGTTTCAATGTTTACTCTTTCTTAGTTAAAAGTTATAGTTTTAATTAGTAGAGCAAAGATCAAGTGTGCATCTTTCGCACAATGAACGAAGGAACAACGAGGATGTGCAACTGACGACTGACTGACATGTGTTTTGTCAATGTCGGATCGACCTTAGCTTATCGGAAGTCGGTCTCACGCGAAGTTGGAACTCATCCCGTTTGTGAGGTCAGAATACTTCTTCTCCTATTCTACTCCTCCCGAGTTGACTCTTTTCATTTATCCTTCTGTCCAATCCGATATTTATGGCTAATCTTCCACGTGGCATCTTCTGACTGAGGGTTCCACGTTGAAAATCAACAAACTTAATAAGAATCAACACCAGATGCGGTGCTTACTAATTGGGAGGCGGTGTATGAGAAGTTCATGGGGAAGTACTACTCCATAAAAAGACGATGGACCTTCGGGGTCAAATGGCGAGCTTTAGTCAGGCACCATGAGAGACTTTCCATGAGGCGTGGGAGCGTTTCAAAGGATACCAACTTCGATGCCCACATCATCACTTTTGCTTCGTGATCTTGAATCAATTCTTTTACGACTATTGATAGGGTCCTTTCCTAGATCTGGAGCGAACTGATTATAATGAGCTCTGAACCGCTTGAATCGCCACGAACACTTGCAAGAACTCAACGCCAGAGGGGTTTCCGACAAAAAGCCTCTGATGCTTAAGTCAGTCTCAAGAAAAGACCGAAATGCTCTGCAGAAAGAGTAGTATGAAATGTGTAGAGAGTGTACAAGTTGTGAAATGGTGGTACCTCGGCTCCTTTTATAGGAGAAATACCTGCCCCGAGTGCTCGCGATCAAAAACCAATTTTTTTTATATCCAATCAAATCAAACAAAACCATTTTTTTTTTTTTTTTATATATCCAATCATTCTCTTAATGTTTCTCCATATCCTAATGACCTCTTAGTTAGATCTTAGCCAGCTTAAGATTCCATCTTATCCTATAAAAATCATCATTATCT